AGGAGTTCTGGTAGTGTAGTGCCTAAGTCATTTGACTGCTAACCAGAAGGCTAGCAGTTCAAACCCACCAGCCACTCCTTGGAAGGAAGGTTGGGCAATCTACTTCCATGGTGATACCGCCTCGGAAACCCAAGGAGGGGTCGCTATGAGTCAGGTCCGACTCAATGGCACATAACAACAACGATTTACCAACTTGATGTATCTGTAGAAGTCTTATAAAAGATTTGAAAATAGAAGTGCCTAAAGATAGCAGGGAAAAAAAAAATCAATGTGTCTGTATTTTACATGAAAAAGAAACTGTTAAGTTATAATGTTTCATGGACTTAAAACAGTGGCCAACATCACAAGATCAATCAGCAGACTAGGCAATAACCTACATTGAGTCTTTCAAACTAGTATCTGGAAAAGATGCAATAAACTAGGTAGACAAGAGTGGCACATGTAATTTCTCAAGCTTTCTGACTCTGTACAAGGCAGCGTATTAATGAAGAATTTGAGAAAATATGATCGAGACCATAAAACAAAATCTAAATGAGTTTTTTCATCAGTGAAACAGCTTCAAAAAACATAAGTGACACTCTGCCAGAATTTTCACTGAACACAGAAATGAAAATTAAAAAGGTTTGAAAATGATGCAGAGTATCTAAAGAAGAAAAATTGCTAGGAAATATTGTATCATAATTTTAAGTCAAAATCAGGCTGACTCACTCACTGAAGCAATACAGTATTCAACAATGCTCAGAGTGAGATCACAAGGGATACAATGGAAAAAAGGAAAATGTCTGCATGGCGGGAGAAGAATATATTTCTTAGAAAATGCTAAACAGTAATGAAACTGAATGAGGCAGCAGTACAAGTTTGTGCTCATTGGGGAACGGAGAAGTATGCTAGCACTTGGTGAGCACTTATGAATTACTAAGTGTGGAAAGCTCTGCTATCTTCCATAAGCCATCTTGTTTAACTCACTACACTCCCATGAGGCAGAGACCAGCATCTTCATTTCACAAACAAACAAACAAAGGCTCAGAGGTCAAGAACTTGGCAGTATAAGTTTAAGACCTGGGATTTGAATTCTGTCTCCAAAACTTAGGCTCTTTCCCTGTATCTCAGCAATAACTGTAAAATTCAAAACAAAAGAAAATAATCTAAATAGCTGACTCTTAAATATGGCTTATAATTACATATATAGCAGTAGTATGTTTCCAACTTACTTCCCAATCAGTGGAAGCTCTGTTGGCGTAGTGCCTAAGACATCTGACTGCTAACCAGAAGGCTGGCAGTTCAAACCCACCAGCCACTCCTCGGAAGGTAAAGTGGGCAACCTACTTCCGTAGAGATACTACCTGGTAAACCCAAGGAGGGGTCATTATAAGTCGAATTAACTTGACTGCAGTGAGTCTGATTTTTGGTTTGGTTCCAATCAATAATTTTCATTTACTTTAGCCTTTTATTTCAGAGTTCTATAATCTGTCTGCAGCTTTAACTTGTTCTGTTTCCCACATTCCTTTCACTTTATTTATCAGAGACAATAATAATACATTGGGAATGACTTATATTTTTAATGTGTATCTGTATCTATATCTAGATAGGAGGCCTGGTGGTGTAAAAAAGCACTTGGATGCCAACCAAAAGGTCAGCAGTTCAAATCTATCAGCTGTTCTAAAGGAAAAAGATGAGGCAATCTGGTTCTGTAAAGATTTTAGACCTTCTACTCTGTCCTATAGCGTCATTATAAGTCAGAATCAACTCAACAGCAAGGATTTGGTTTGGTTTTATATCTATATATCACAAATACAATTAAAAGTCTCCCTGCAAGAGAACAATCTTAGGAGAAAGAAGAGCTGCTTATGCACAGGGAGACAGCTCAGGGGGCAGGAGTGCATGGAGGCATGGACACTGGGAAGAGGTAACTATGGAGAGGAAGTGGGAGGGGAGCTGTTGCATTGTGGTAAACTATGGTCAATGACAGGAGACAAAGTATATGTGAATGCTGTATGGAAAGTGAATTTGCTCTGTAAATCTTCACCCAAATCACAATTTAAAAAAAAAAAAAAAGTCTCCCTGCAAAGGAAACCATGTTCCATTTCTATCATCCTTCTGTAATCATGAAATTTTCTGGTTTCAATTCTAATCACATCTTGCCGAAAGAAAGATAATGTTTACTAGATGAAAACTTAAGAATAGGGAAAAACTTAATGATGTGAATAAACTTACTAACAAAAGTACCTCTAAAAATCCTTTTACCATATTCCTACAGTCAAAACTAAATGAAAGAATAACCCAGGTCTACACAACACTAACACACATTTATCTTATTATAACTACCCTAAATGGCATTATTTTACATGAGATATTTTTCAAAAATGTAATTATAGTCATTCACTCATTCAAACACATTTACTAAGCATCTGAGTGCAAAGTACTGAACTATGCACTGGATATAAAATAGTGAATGAAATCAACATAATTCCTGCTTTCACTGAGGTTTCAGTCTAGGAGAGGAAACAGACTGTAAACAAGTAATTATAAAATACAAGGAAATGACATAATGCTGTGAGACAGGATTTGAGGCGAGACCTACTCAGATTGGCCAAGAAAAGCCTTCCTGAAAAGTTACAATAAAGCTGAGACAAGCAGAACAAGAAGTAATCAGCTGTCTGAAAAGCCTGGGGGAAGACATGGCTGCATTTAGGGAGCTCAAGAGAACCAAAGGGGCTAAAGCATGGTGAGCTAAGGGTCAAAAAATAAAGGTCTCAAAAGTTAAGGAAGAATTTGGATTTTATTTGAAATGGAACAAAGACTCACTGAAAATTTTTAAACAAAGAGTTTAACACAAAGTGCTAAGAGCCAATTTATTTTCTTAAAATATCACGTTGGCTGCTTAGGATAGAACAGAGTGGAGAAATTGAGAAACTATTACAGTACTGAAGACAATATTACAGTAGATAACAGTTTTGACTAATGCAGTTTTAGTGACTTGGAGAGAAGTCAAGAGATTCAGAACATATTCTGAAAATCGAATTTTCATAGCTTACTGATAAATTCGAAGTAACAGGGAGAAGAAAAAATGAAAACTAATTCCCTGATATCCAGTCTGAACAACTAGAAGGATAAGGATTACACTAACTGCGATGAGGAAATTCGGAGGGTAGTTTTGAAGAAGAATATCATGAATTGTATCTTAGATATTAACATCTGAGATTCTATGAGATTTGTAAGTGATGATGTAAATCAGGCAGGCAGACATTCAAATGTGCAGCTGCAAAGAAAAATCTGATCTAGAGATAACCCTCAAGATAAGATATGATTGCAAGTAATCAAACAGTGGTATTACTCTTAACTTTAGGACACTGTTTTTCTAAAGGAACTGGTTTTCTAAACAAGCAACCAAATTTTAAGTATAAAATAGGAAAATGGCTAGATTCAGACAAACCAAAACCAAACCAAACTCACTGCCATCAAGTCAACTGTGACTCATAGCAACCCTCCTTGGGTTTCCAAGGCTATAAATCTTTACGAAAGCAGACTGCTTCATCTGTCTTCCACAGAGCAGCTGATGGGTTCAAACCACCAGCCTCTTGGTTAGCAGCCAAATGTCTGCAACACTACATTACTAGGGGTCCTTAACACTCTATAATTCAAGATTATTCAATAGATGATCCGAATCACTCTGATCAATGTAACATCAGAGAACCCAAGGAGAAGTCAAGAACAAAAGCAGATGTTTTGATCTAAAACAAATCTATAGTAAAAGGACATAAAACAGGAAAAAGGATAATAAAAAGAGGAGGTAGGTAGAGAATTCTCTATCTGAATTTAAGGTACTAACTAATATTACAATTAATATATGGTAATATAAACCAGAGAAACACTGGAATGCATTATTATGAACTACTCTTAATTGTGGGAGCTCTGGTAGCATAGTGCCTAAGGCGCTTGATTGCTAACCAGAAGGCTGGCGGTTCAAACCCACCAGCCACTCCTCAGAAGGAAGATGGGGCAATCTACTTCAGTAGTTATACTGCCTCAGAAACCCAAGGAGGGGTTGCTATGAGTTGGGTCCAACTCAACAGCACATAACAACAACAACAACTCTTAATTGTAAACTACATTTACATAACATATATATATATATATACACAAAAATACATAAATAAACATATATGTGCATATGTATGATTACATTGTTAGCTCCTTAAGAACTGGGCTTTATTTCTTTATGACAAATGCCTGTAACAATGCATGGCACATAGTAAATGCTAACTAAATCCTTGCTGATAACATAAATTAATGAACAAAATGTATGCTTCAAGAAAATGAATTGTGCAAAAGCATGTGCAAAATAAACATAATTTGCACCTTAATATCTAACAAAACTTAGTCCAAAAAAATTCTTTTAAAAAGCTATAGATCTAGGGAAAACAAAGACATAGATCTAGCTGGATCAAGACATACCTCAATAGCTTAATCCACCAGAACTGACATGGTTACTTAATAATTGAGTACCTTATAAGAATGAATGGATTACTGATTTATCTTTCTATAAAAAGTAATAGAGTGAAATGAGATAATCAAGATAATCAAAGACTTCCACCTATAAGCATTGAATTTCTATTCAAGGTAATGAAAAATCTGACAATGATTATTGGTGATGATTGCACACTATTAGTAATGTAGACAATATCACTAAATTGTCCATGTGAAAAATGCTGAATCTGCAAATGCTGTGTTATATATATATTTTTATAACAATTGAAAACAGACTCCTATGTATAATAACTAAAAACACTGGCAATTTAATATAATAGAAAATTCTTTCCTTATGCAATTAAATAACAGAACCAAAATGCTATATACTTCATCTTAAAAAGCACCTTAAAAAACAGAATTTGCTGAAAACAAGAGGGCTTTAGAGAAGATACAACAATGTTTGTGTTTAGAAACACAGTATCTATACACCATTCTTTAATGGCAGTATCTGAAAATATAAAATATCATACCTGCATGCAAAGTACAATGGAGTGGCTCCTGATACATTTGGCCTGTTAATATCTGCACCACTGTCTAGCAAGCACTGCACTGTCTGGGGAGAAAAGAAACAATGAAAAGTAAAGTCAAAGAAGTCCAACAAAAGACACAATGATCACAATTTTAACCCTTATACCTATTTAAGAACAGGAGGAACCCTGTGGCACAGTGGTTAAGTACTCAGCTGTGAACCAAATGGTCAGTGGTTTGAACTTACCAGCTGCTCCATGGGGGAAAGCTTTGACAGTCTGCTTCCATAAAGATAATTAGCCTAACAAACCCTATGGGGCAGTTTTACTATGGCCTTTCAGGTTGCTGGGAGCTCTGGTAGCATAGTGGCTAAGGCACTTGACTGCTAACCAGAAGGTTGGCGGTTCAAACCCACCAGCCACTCCTCGGAAGGAAGAAGGGGCAATCTACTTCCGTAGCGATACTACCTTGGAAACCCAAGGAAGGGTCGCTATGAGTTGGGTCTGACTCGACAGCACATAACAACAACAACAACAACATAGGGTTGCTATGAGAGGAAATCAACTCAATGGCAATGGGTTATCTAAGAATAGATATAAGCAATTACATTATTAATATCTCAATATCTCTCTTTTAAGGAAAGTTCTTCCCACAACTTGAAGCTTTAAAAAGTATTAAGTGAATACATGGCAAATACGATGGTTGAACAAATTCAACTTTTTGGTAAATTCTCTAAATCTCTCAGACACCATGCAGTACATGTGCTATTACTAATTTAACATCAACTGTGTAACCTGGGAAGGCTCTAAAGCAGTGCTGTTTAATACAGTAGTCACTAGTAATATGTAGCACTTGAAATGTGGCCAGTTTACTACTATTTATTGTATTTTATTTTAATTAATTTTAATTTAAATAGCCACATATGGCCACACATAGCTACTGACTTTTGCATTGGACAATAGTCAGCTCTAGATACGTGAACTGAAAAATCAAGATGTTTTCACCTCTAAAAACAAAAAATTGATACCAGAATTCTAACTTTCTAAGAGACAAAATTTATAATTATTGAATTACAAAATGTTTAAAAGCTGAGAATGGCAATGGGATGGGACTGCTTAGGAGTAAGTGTATGTTAATGGAGGAAGAACAACTCAGAAAAGGTGGGTGAGGATGGTTGCACAACTGGAAGAATGCAAACAATGTCAGTGAAATGGACATATAAAAATTTGAATTGATGTATGCTTTTACTGTGTATATTCTCAACAAAAATTATTTATTAAAAACCCTGAGAAGTCATTTTACTATTAACAATAGGAAACAGTCACTCAATTTCCTTAAGAGTCAATCATATATACCTTGCCCCCTAAACTCAAGTTCTGCAATCTGATTCATAGGAGAAAAAAAGTAAAATAATGTAAGCTCATACCTGATGATTGTGGATTAAGTTAGGGGCCACATGAAAAAAAAGAAAGAAAAAAACTTTATTCCTATGATCGTCATATGGGTTTTCCTACACAAGGTGAGAAAACTTGTAGATTCATAGTTTTTGTAGATTAAACTTCTAATATAATCTGGTTTAAACACATGCATTCATTTTTACTGCTGCTTTAAAACCTAGTACATGAAGGCAGTAAAATAAAAAGACTATAAACCTACAAGGAGGAACAGGAAAGAATACAATGGCATAGTACTGAAGTCAAAAATAAGTTTTGGGAATATGTCAAGGAAACAGAAGCATAGCAAATCAGGGAAAGCTAAAATCCAAGTACCTGCAAATGGATGCTAACAATGAGGAACCAACTAGAAACCAAATGGGGGGGGGGCACTACAATACAAACACAAAAAAAGGCCCCAAAATTAGAAGAATAAGGTGTTGGAAGGCAAGGATGGTTAAGTAGAGCTCAAAGCAGTCACAATCCTACAAAAGAAGCAGCTGAACCCTCCCCCAGGATGATTCTCTCCCTATCCCATACAGAGGGCTGCTAACCTCCTCACTAGGATACCTTAGAATGTAGGAGGTTCATTCTGTGGAACAAAGTGAATAGGAAGGTTCTGGATTGGTAGACAAAGAATACTTCAGAGCAGGGATGCAGAACCATGATGAAAATAATTAAGTGAAAACCTCTAGTCCTCTGCAGTGTAGTAAATTACTTAGTGTGGCTTTTCTACCCATAAGTCTTTGTAAACTCCAAGGTGGGATTTGCTATGAGCAACTGAGGAGCTCCTGATTGCTGAAGGTATCCACCTGGAGTATTTCTGTTGGGAGTGGCACAAAACAATGTTCTGGAAGGCTCCCACTCTCTCTCACGTCCTTAGAGTTCTGATGCTGTGATTGGCTAGTTTGACCACCCTTCTGGGCTCAAAAGGAGGCCTCCTGGAGGCAGAACTGTCTCTGACTGCTGGTGGAGGAAGACATGCTGCTGAAAGAGACACGGGCTCCTGAGACATGTGTGGCTGGGAAAGAGACGCAAGAGACACGCATCACTGAGTGAGACACCGAGGGACCAGCACTGCTGGGAAAGAGACTGTGAGACTGTTGGCTGAGTGATGGTGGGCTGGGCGAGAGACTGAGCATTCTTCCTGAATTTGAATTGTAGCCCATGGTGCTTCCCTAATAAACCCCGTAATCTGTGAGCTCTGTGTGGCCACTGCAGCGAATTATCGAACACAGGAGAGAGGTGGTGGTGCTTTGGGAGGAACGGTTGGAGAAAGGGCTGGAGGGAGGCAGCATGTCCCGCCTTGCAGTAATAGGCCTTGGGTTACTGCTGGTAATCCTGTCTTCCTGTTGTGGGATTAGAGGAGGTCAGAACATGTGGCCTCCTTGCCGTTTTAGCATCCTCATATTCACTAAAACCAAACCAAAACAAAACAAAATCCAAACTCGATGGCATCGAGGGTTTCTGAGGTGGTAAATCTTTACGGAAGTAGATTTACCAGTCTTCCTTCCATGGAGGGGCTGGTGGGTCTGAACTGCCACTCTTTTGGTTAGCAGTCAAATGCCTGAGGCATTATGGCACCAGAACTCCTTAGACTCCCAAAAATCTGGCAGCAGGCTTAAAACTTCACATAGGAAGAGATTAAAGGCTTCCTCTCTAGAGACTGGCACAGAGAAGAATCCTACAGATACTGGCATGTGAGAATCCTACAATGAAACAGCCAATCATTTTACAACAGTTCTCAATTGGAGTGCTTTTGCCCCCTAGAGGCTATGTGACAACACTGGGAGGTATTTTTTATTTTCATAACGGATTAGGGAAAGTGCGACCGGCATCTAGTGGGTAAAGATCAGGGAAGTTGCTAAACATCCTAAAATACAGAGGACAGCCCCCACAATCATGAAATAATACCAAGATTAATAAACCTTAGCCTACAGAAAGGTCAATCTGTCAACAAACCAGGCCCACGTAAGCAGTATTTCCAGTAAAGACTTTATTGTTTCACTGCTGTACACGAATAGACAGGTAATATTTAAGAGACAAGTGAGGCAGCAAGCCTCTATCCTGAAAGACAGACATAAACAGAAAAAAGGAACTCATAAAAATAAAGAAAATATAGGAAACCAAACAACAACAACCAAAAAAAAAAACCCAGAAAGGACTTCCAGTAAGATGGTAGAATAAGCAGACAAGCTCCTCTTCAACAAAGAAAAGAAAAACCAATTGACAGAGATACGGAAGATAATCCTGGAGCCCTGAGCTTTGAAAGGAAATATACAGAAGGAGACTCCTAGGAAGGAAGATGGGGCAATCTACTTCTATAGTGATACTGCCTTGGAAACCCAAGGAGGGGTCGCTATGAGTCAGGTCCGACTTGACGGCACATAACAACAACAACAACAGTGGAAAAACCTGAACAAAAACAGTGAGTATGGACAGTCATAAGGAGCTCTGGTAGCATAGTGGCTAAAGCACTTGACTGCTAACCAGAAGGCTGGCAGTTCAAACCCACCAGCCACTCCTCGGAAGGAAGGTTGGGCAATCCTACTTCCGTAGTGATACTGCCTCGGAAACTCAAGGAGGGGTCGCTATGAGTCGGGGCCGACTCGACGGCACATAGCAACAACAACAACAACATGGACAGTCAGAGCAGTGACTGTCAGCTACTCTTACAAGGCCAACAGCCTTAATATTTCCAAGTGGTGTTGGGGCCTGAGAATTGACCTAAAGATCAACCCTGGTCGCCAAGGGCTACAGGGATGACTGCACTGGTGGCCTATGACTAGGAAGGGAAATAGCAAGGATGGAGACAACCTGAGCTGTGGACTTTCAGCTGTCCAGAAGGCACAGCCATTTTGATTGTTTACACGTGGCAGCCATTTTGTACATTTAAAGTGACTGAGGGTACAACCATTTTTATTGTTTACATGTAGTGACCATTTTGGATATTAAAAGTGACTGAGGGTGCAGCCATTTTTAATGTTTACAAGCAGTGACTATTTTGGATTTTAAAGTGACAGCATTCTCATTCAGATTTCAGGAACCTAAGAATAGATTCCGCTTGCCAAGGATGGCAGGGACATACGAGAAGTTGACAACGGGAAAGGAGACAGGTAGTGAGTATATAAGTGCTGCCAACTAGTGAATACAGGAGCACAACACAGTACCCTGCTTATGTAGATAACATACAAAGAAAACAAAAATCATGGGCAAGTCACTCTAACATACAATAACCAATTAAATATAAACACAAAATGTCACAATGCCTTGGTGACAACAGAGCATCACAGCCCACACAAAGAAGATAAAAGAGGAGAAACAAGGGACCAGGATACAAACCCAAAATACATCCCTGAGGAAGACACAGCATTGGAACTCCCTAAGGAGGAATTCAAAATAATTATATTTAGGTACCCTCAACGAATTGAGAGACAGATCAAGGAAAACACTGACAAAATTAAGGCAAACACAGAGAAAACCCTAGAACAAATTCAAAAAACAATACAAGAACAAGACAACAAAATAAATGAAAAATTAAAAATGATACAAAATCTACAGAAATCCAGAAGATTAACAGGAAATCTTCTGAAACAGGTAACATGTTGAACAGGCAAAGGAGTAGAATTGAATCAATGAAAGACAGAATTAA